TTACGTGTGGAGTTACGACAGGTGGTCGTGTTATCTGGATGACGGGAGCGAGGTCGTAAGTCACCAAACAGTTTAGCATCTCGTAAGCGCTACGATATCGGCGCAAAGCGGCGACACACGACTCTCGCCCTAACCTAACCCGTACATAAGGTCTAGTTCCTCAAAGGTAACCCATGTGATCGGTTATTCTAACAATGGTGTTTGTTTATGGTAATTAATATTATCTGATATGCTATCGTTGGTAGAGGGGGCAGAGTACAGCTCTACCGTCCTAGCGACCTAGGTTCGAACCCAAGTGAGATCGAAATCTAGTGTTTTATGGAAAAAAAACAGTTTGAGGACCAATGAGGCTTTACATCAGAGTAATATGGGGTAATTTAGTCAATAACCACCATTAAGATAAACGAGGCCAATCAGGGGTGAAACAAGGTGATCTGATAATCTGCGATTGTTTACGTCAACCACTAGACCAGAATTTAACATAATTTGTGCAGATTTATGAGTTTTGTGTTATAAAGTCAATTTTATAACCTAGGATCATCATTCTGTTCCGGGGAGTCCATTTATTTTGGACCATGTTTTGTTTCTTCAGTTGACGTAGACTTAACCTAACTTTGTCTAGCTTAGTTTAACTTAACTTCCTTTAACCTAACTTAGCCTAGCTTAGTTTAACCTAGCTTAGTTTAACCTAAGCTAACTTAGCCTAGCTTAGTTTAACCTAAGCTAACTTAGCCTAGCTTGGTTTAACCTAACTTAGCCTAGCTTGGTTTAACCTAACTTAGCCTAGCTTGGTTTAACCTAGACTACGCTACGCGAGCCTCTCCTCACCTTAGTTATGATGAAATCGTCGGTGTATCGTAACTTACCGCCATAGCAACCCAAGTTACGATCTCGATCATGATTGTTATGGAACCTCGGTCACCTCGCAAACAAGGGGCCAGATTCACGAAGCAGTTACACAAGCACTTACGAACTTGGGGCTAGATTCACAAAGTAGTTACGCAAGCACTTACGAACCTGGGGCCAGATTCACGAAGCAGTTACGCAAGCACTTACGAACCTGGGGCCAGATTCACGAAGTAGTTACGCAAGCACTTACGAACCTGGGGGCCAGATTCACGAAGTAGCTACGCAAGCACTTACGAACCTGGGGCCAGATTCACGAAGTAGCTACGCAAGCACTTACGAACCTGGGGCCAGATTCACGAAGCAGTTACGCAAGCACGTACGAACCTGGGGCCAGATTCACGAAGCAGTTACGCAAGCACTTACGAACCTGGGGCCAGATTCACGAAGCAGTTACGCAAGCACTTACGAACCTGGGGGCCAGATTAATGAAGCAGTTACGGAAGCACTTACGAACGTGTCCATCTTTCCTCAATCTTTGACGGCTTTGGTTACATATATTAAACAGTTTACAAGCATGAAAACTTGCCAATCAACTGTTGTTATTGTTATAAACAGCCTCCTGGTGCTTCGGAGCTCATTAACTGTTTAATAATTGTAAACAAAGCCGCCAAAGATTGAGAAAAGATGGACAGGTTCGTAAGTGTTTGCGTAACTGCTTCGTGAGTCTGGCCCCAGGTTCGTAAGTGCTTGCGTAACTGCTTCGTGAATTTATCCCCTGTTTCGTAAGTGCTTGCATAACTGCTTCGTGAATCTGGCCCCAGGTTCGTAAGTGCTTGCGTAACTGCTTCGTGAATCTGGCCCCAGAGGCTACCAGCGTAGTTACTGCTGCAGGCAACAGATGGCGCGGGCGTCTCAGTCCTGGGAATAACTACCTGACGTCACGACGTGGTAACGTCACCGCGTCGTGACGTCACAGCGGGGCGCGCCAGATCTTAACCGCCTTGCCCGCTATCTTACATGTTATCCTGCCCGCTATCTTACATGTTATCCTGCCCGCTATCTTACATGTTATCCTGCCCGCTATCTTACATGTTATCCTGCCCGCTATCTTACATGTTATCCTGCCCGCTGTCTTACATGTTATCCTGCCCGCTGTCTTACATGTTATCCTGCCCGCTATCTTACATGTTATCCTGCCCGCTATCTTACATGTTATCCTGCCCGCTATCTTACATGTTATCCTACCCGCTATCTTGTATACTAATCTTTCATGTTATATTGTGTACTAATCTTACATGTTATCTTTTATACTAATCTTGCATGCTATCTTATATACTAATCTTAGAAGATATCTTGCATGCTTTCTTGTATACTAATTTTACATGTTATCTTGAATAATATATTGCAAAATAACTTTCATGCTACCTTGCATGATAACTTACATGCTACCTTGCATGATAACTTACATGCTATCTTGCATGATAACTTACATGCTATCTTGCATGATAACTTACATGCTATCTTGCATGATAACTTACATGCTATCTTGCATGATAACTTACATGCTACCTTGCATGATAACTTACATGCTACCTTGCATGATAACTTACATGCTACCTTGCATGATAACTTACATGCTACCTTGCATGATAACTTACATGCTATCTTGCATGATAACTTACATGCTATCTTGCATGATAACTTACATGCTATCTTGCATGATAACTTACATGCTACCTTGCATGATAACTTACATGCTACCTTGCATGATAACTTACATTCTACCTTGCATGATAACTTACATGCTATCTTGCATGATAACTTACATGCTATCTTGCATGATAACTTACATGCTATCTTGCATGATAACTTACATGCTATCTTGCATGATAACTTACATGCTATCTTGCATGATAACTTACATGCTATCTTGCATGATAACTTACATGCTATCTTGCATGATAACTTACATGCTATCTTGCATGATAACTTGCATGCTATCATGCATGATAACTTACATGCTATCTTGCATGCTATCATCGATGCTGTTGTAACTACTTTTGGGTTTAGGATCGTGATTGGCTAATATCGTTGGGTCAAGACCCCAAAAATATGCTTATAAAAAGTCACGATAGTACAGTGGGCTTCGCTGTCGACTCATACTCTGTGATCCCGGGTTCGATCCCCGATGGTGACAGAAATGGCTGGGTATGAATCTTTACACCTCATGCCTCTGTTCACCTATTAGTAAATATGTACCCGGGAATCGGGCAACTGTTGTGGGGGAGAGTGGGAGACCTCGAGATATATATATATATATATACACATATATACATATATATATGTCACTCTCAGGACTGCTGTGTCCAGCTTAAGACGTGACTGCAGTGCGACAGCTTAGCCAGTTTGGCATTGTCTGCTCTGGAGATGCTTAATAGCATATACACGCCAGTAGTGTGTGTGTGTAGTCACCTGTTTGTGCTTGCAGGAGCCAGCTCTTGGGTCCCGCCTCTCCAGACGCCGGGAGACTAAAGCAATGTGTCCTGTTTTCATTATCAGATCTAGTTAATAGTTTGATTCCTTAGCCTTCTCACTCATCTGAGTCTCACGCCTCTACTCTGTCAATTCTCTAAGTATTTTATATGTTTCTATCACGTCTCTCTCTCTCTCTGTCCTTTTAGCGTCGTCAGGTTTAGTTCCTTCAGGCGCTCTTCATATCCCATCCCCTCGCAATTCTGGGACGCGCGTTGTTGCAAACTTCTGAACCCTTTCTAAGTTTCCTTGTGTGTTTAGATGGGGCGGCATACTCTGAGACTGGTCTCACGTAGGTGGTGTACAGCGATCTAAATGACTCCTTATTTAGCCTCCTAAATGATCTAAGGTTTGCTAGTACAGAGTATGTTGCTGACGTTATGGTGTGTGTGTGTGTGTGTGTGTGTGTGTGTGTGTGTGTGTGTGTGTGTGTGTGTGTGTACTCACCTATTTGTGCTTGCGGGAATTGAGCTTTGGCTCTATGGTCCCGCCTTTCAACCGGGTGTGTGTGTGTGTGTGTGTGTGTGTGTGTGTGTGTGTGTGTGTGGTCGCAAATTCGTAAAGTCAATATTGACTTATTAAATATGTGCATAGGTGACATACTTAACATAAGATACCATTAAAAAGATTCATAGAAAACACCGACCTTACCTAACCTACTTAATATGTTAAGATAAGCATCTTATTGCTTCGTAATTACAATTATTACCTAACCTATAATAGGTATAGGTTAAGTAATAATTGTAATTACGAAGCAATAAGATGCTTATCTTAAGATACTAACAAGGTTAGGTAAGGTCGGTGTTTTCTATGAATCTTTTTAAGGGTATCTATTATGTTAAGTATATCACCTATGCACATATTTAATAAGTCAATATTGACTTATTAAATTTGCGAGAACGGGTTGCAGATGTAAATGTCATGAAAACAGTATTGCCAAAATGTCGAGATGTTTATACGCTTTGTTGAAGCATAATATACTGTTGGGGGGAGAAGAGGGGGGGGGGTGTTGGGGGAGAAGAGGGGGGGAGAAGGGGGGGTTAAATATATGATGAAATTGTGTTCTGGCGGAATCATTTGCTTGATTGCAGTTCAGGCAAGCGTCCGCTCTGTGTCTAGTTTATTTTCCCCCTCTCACTCTCCGCCGGGGAGAGGCTGCGTGCCTGCCCGCCTGCCTGTCCCTCCACCACTGTTCTCCCTCCAACACTCCATCACTCTCCACCATCCTCCTCCTCCCTCCCTCCTCCATCCTCCTCCACCACTGGCAGAGCCGGGCCCCTGCCAGATGCACGATTCGTCGATATCATGGCTGTGTTTTGTATTAAATTTGTTTTTGTTTTGTAAGTGATTTTGTGTTATCTTGTAAGTTATTATATAGTAATCCTGTTATCGTTATTGGTAGTGGTTTAGAGTTTTATGTACTGACGCATAACTGCTTGAGTTGTATAATGGAGTTTGGTCTGATATCTTTCTGGTGTCTTTTGGAGTACTTGTAAGGTTATTATTAATATTAGATATCTGGTTATTAAATAAGCAATAGAGGAGTAGAAGCGATGGTGGTGTTGAGGGCTGCGGTACGAGAGGTTGGGTGGTGGCGGCGGCAGCGGTGTTGCCACTCACTGGGTCAGCCGCCAGTGCGGTGTTCACCTCACACTGGGTCACACCGTCTTGTCGGGGAGTGCGGGGACGGTCATCGTGCTGGTGCTCGGGGACAATCTGTTTTACACATCTCTCGTGTTATAATTCGTGCTGGAAAGTTAGCGTCGGAGTGGTAGACTGTGGAGGAGATATACGAGGCATCGCTCGGGAGAACTGTTGCCAGCGGGGGCTCAGGTAGGTGGAGATGTTATCAAAAGTGGTGACCTGGTCGATATCCTGGTGGGGGACATGTTATCCTGAGAGGGGTCGGCTGGGGAAGCTAATAGGGGGGGAAAAATAGGGGAGGAATGCGGCAGGTCATCGGTGGTTAACAGGCTGACCTGTAAAGGATAATTTGTATCTCCCTAACATTTCTCTCTCCTGGGGCTCCGAAGCGGCTACAGCCTCCGCCGGCGGTGGTGACCCTGCCTGGAGCCTCTCTGAGACTCCTCCACACCTGTGTGGTGTCCTGTGGTGTCCCTGGGGGTGTGTGTGACGGGTGTAGGTGTCCGTGAGCGCCTTCGTCAGCCCCTGCAGCCCCAGGACGGTGAGAGAGAGCCAGGAGTCCCGGGCTCCGACCTGATCGATGCTACTCCACCGGATTCATTCTTCGTTTTCTTTGATAACCTAATTCAGGGGAACTTCCGAAAATATATCTGGGGGTCGCGGCCCCCAGGGGGCACCGCCCCTGGAGGCCCCGCCCCTGGAGGTCTCGGGCCCAAGGGGGCACCGCCCCTGGTGGTCTCGGCCCCGCCCCTGGTGGTCTCGGCCCCGCCCCTGGAGATCTCTGCCCCGCCCCTGGAGGCCGCGCCTCTGGAGGCCCTGCCCCTAGTGACCCCTGGAGGTCTCGGGCCCCGCCCCTGGAGGTCTCGGGCCCCAGGGGGCACCGCCCCTGGTGGTCTCGGCCCCGCCCCTGGAGGCCTCGCCCCTGGAGATCTCTGCCCCGCCCCTGGAGGCCGCGCCCCTGGAGATCTCTGCCCCGCCCCTGGAGGCCCTGCCCCTGGTGACCCCTGGAGGTCTCGGCCCCTGGAGGCCCCTGGAGGTCTCGGCCCCTGGAGGCCCCTGGAGGTCTCGGCCCCTGGCTGCCCGTAAAGGCCAACAATTTGAAGGTCACCCAATTGTCATACCCAACACTCCCCCACACTTGACACCAACACCCGCCCGCCCTCGTCCACGCCCACCCCGGCCCTCCCGCCCTCGTCCACGCCCACCCCGGCCCTCCCGCCCTCGTCCACGCCCACCCCGGCCCTCCCGCCCTCGTCCACGCCCACCCCGGCCCTCCCGCCCTCGTCCACGCCCACCCCGGCCCTCCCGCCCTCGTCCACGCCCACCCCGGCCCTCCCGCCCTCGTCCACGCCCACCGTCCATGGGCCGGGTTTAAACCCAAACTGACTACTGGAGCAAAGCGGCCGCCATGAGAACATTGGTACAGTTGTGGCCGGGTTATGGACCAGTACCACACTCGCCCCTCTGATGGTGGGGGTAGCTGGCGCAGTGGGCTCCGTGATGGCCACGCTGTGTGTAGCTATGGTACCTCAGGTACCCAACAGCCTCGTGTGGAGGCTGTTAGCCGGGGGGGGCGTCCAGTCTCCTAGCTTGGAGGCTGCTAGCCGGGGGGGGGGGCGTCCAGTCTCCAAGCTTGGAGGCTGCTAGCCGGGGGGGGGGGGCGTCCAGTCTCCAAGCTTGGAGGCTGCTAGCCGGGGGGGGGCGTCCAGTCTCCAAGCTTGGAGGCTGCTAGCCGGGGGGGGGGCGTCCAGTCTCCAAGCTTGGAGGCTGCTAGCCGGGGGGGGGCGTCCAGTCTCCAAGCTTGGAGGCTGCTAGCCGGGGGGGGGGGCGTCCAGTCTCCAAGCTTGGAGGCTGCTAGCCGGGGGGGGGGGGGCGTCCAGTCTCCAAGCTTGGAGGCTGCTAGCCGGGGGGGGGGGCGTCCAGTCTCCAAGCTTGGAGGCTGCTAGCCGGGGGGGGGGCGTCCAGTCTCCAAGCTTGGAGGCTGCTAGCCGGGGGGGGGGGCGTCCAGTCTCCAAGCTTGGAGGCTGCTAGCCGGGGGGGGGGCGTCCAGTCTCCAAGCTTGGAGGCTGCTAGCCGGGGGGGGCGTCCAGTCTCCAAGCTTGGAGGCTGCTAGCCGGGGGGGGCGTCCAGTCTCCAAGCTTGGAGGCTGCTAGCCGGGGGGGGGGGCGTCCAGTCTCCAAGCTTGGAGGCTGCTAGCCGGGGGGGGGGCGTCCAGTCTCCAAGCTTGGAGGCTGCTAGCCGGGGGGGGCCGTCCAGTCTCCAAGCTTGGAGGCTGCTAGCCGGGGGGGGGCGTCCAGTCTCCAAGCTTGGAGGCTGCTAGCCGGGGGGGGCGTCCAGTCTCCAAGCTTGGAGGCTGCTAGCCGGGGGGGGCGTCCAGTCTCCAAGCTTGGAGGCTGCTAGCCGGGGGGGGGCGTCCAGTCTCCAAGCTTGGAGGCTGCTAGCCAGGGGGGGCGTCCAGTCTCCAAGCTTGGAGGCTGCTAGCCGGGGGGGGGGGCGTCCAGTCTCCAAGCTTGGAGGCTGCTAGCCAGGGGGGGCGTCCAGTCTCCAAGCTTGGAGGCTGCTAGCCAGGGGGGGGCGTCCAGTCTCCAAGCTTGGAGGCAGCTAGCCGGGGGGGGGGCGTCCAGTCTCCAAGCTTGGAGAGGCTATTCCCGCCTCTCTGTGAACGTTCTTAATATCATAAACCACTAACCACTTTGTATCATTAATTTACACCAAACTTAAATATTCTTAGGCCTAGTATAGCATATATATGTACTATATTAGGCCTAGTATAGCGTGTATTAGGCCTAGCATTATTACTAGAGGTTATATATGTTACGGTTAAAATAGTTTTTTGTACAAATTCAGTAATTACAGACGTTTACTGGTGGTGGTACATCACTGTACGGTGCAGTACTGCAGCTACTGTGAGTACCCCCTGTGAGTTAGGGGGCCTGGTGGATAGCGAGCAGGACTCTTAATTCTGTGGCGCGGGTTCGATTCCCGCACGAGGCAGAAACAAACGGGCGTGAAACTTTCAGGGCACCCCTGAATGACCCTGTTACCTAGCAGTAAAATAGGTACCTGGGTGTTAGCTGTCACGGGCTGCTTCCTGGGGGTGGAGGCCTGGTCGAGGACCGGGCCGCGGGGACACTAAGCCCCGAAATCATCTCAAGATAACCTCAAGATAACCCTCATACTAAGGGCTGTATCCCTGTACCTGGGTGTTGAGATATAGCTCTTGGGTCCACCTGGGTGTTGAGATATAGCTCTTGGGTCCACCTGGGTGTTGAGCTATAGCTCTTGGGTCCACCTGGGTGTTGAGATATAGCTCTTGGGTCCACCTGGGTGTTGAGATATAGCTCTTGGGTCCACCTGGGTGTTGAGATATAGCTCTTGGGTCCACCTGGGTGTTGAGATATAGCTCTTGGGTCCACCTGGGTGTTGAGATATAGCTCTTGGGTCCACCTGGGTGTTGAGATATAGCTCTTGGGTCCACCTGGGTGTTGAGATATAGCTCTTGGGTCCACCTGGGTGTTGAGATATAGCTCTTGGGTCCACCTGGGTGTTGAGCTATAGCTCTTGGGTCCACCTGGGTGTTGAGCTATAGCTCTTGGGTCCCGCATCTCCACCTTCAGTCCACTGGTTTAGAAGTAGTGATACTTGACTCACAATTGGGGATCTAGGGCAGAAACGTTTGGCTATGTTTCCTTTCACCTAATGCAGTTATTCGCCGGTATGTATCTGGGAGTTGGGGAGCTGCATTGTGGGTAGCTCGTCCTCGGGGGAGGGGGGCGGCACCACCTCGTGGATCACTTATTATGGTGGTCCAGTTGCCTTGGAGTGTTGCTGTCTGGTGTTGTCAACATGAGAGAGAGAGAGAAGTACACGGAACATCTTTGAACATACTGAAGCAACACGAGTCGTGAGTACTCACCCACCCCACTTAGCGGGTCAGTCAAAGGCCTAACGGCGCGGGCAAGAGTACAACTTGCCGGCCAGTCAAAGGCCTAACGGCGCGGGCAAGAGTACAACTTGCCGGCCAGTCAAAGGCCTAACGGCGCGGGCAAGAGTACAACTTGCCGGCCAGTCAAAGGCCTAACGGCGCGGGCAAGAGTACAAAGGCCTGACGGCTGTTGACAGTCCAACAAAGCCAGTATTAGCTTGTATACTGTGCCTGGCCGGTCTCCTGCCTTAATACAATGACGACCACTCTTCTTGTGAGATGAGCGGGGTTAAGCAACGTTGGATAAGGTTAATACTTGGATGGGTGACCGCCTGGGCACACCAAATGCTATTGGCTTTTATATTTGAGCGCGTCGACCAGAGGCTTAAGGCCCGCGCAAGAATATTCCAGAAGATCAACCTACTTCTAGACAATGACCATCTTCAACACAGAAAATCAGAAGGAACCAAGAGGATTCGAACCCCCCACGTTTGGTGCTCCCAAGTACACGCCTTAGATAAAGTGTGTGCAGGTTCGAATCCCTCCAACGGCTCCTATTAAGCTTCTCGTTGATACTTCACGTTAACGTGACACGAGTATTAACGCAATGTAACATTGGATCATGCATTAAGTAGTACTCATTAGCGATAATATTTGACTTGGATCGTCGTAGGTTCGAACTCTGGCCTCAAAAGTGAACGTGTCCGTTGTCCTACCAACCAGGTCTTAGACTCAGGTGGGTTCCTTGCGCACTGGGTTACCTGCGCAGTGGGTTCCTTGCGCAGTAAGCTCCTTGCGCAGTGAGCTACTTGTACTCACTAGGTGAGCACAAGTAACCCACCTCCTTAAAGGACTCTACTCACTTTTGAAGAATTCTGCTTAAGTTGGACTAACTGGTGTAGGTTTGTAAGGAAAGTTTGGGTCATGGAGGCCTGGTTTGGGTCCCCCCTGAACCCGGACTGGCCAACGTGACGTGACAGGATGACATGCGCAGACGTTCAAGACATGCGTAGAGGTAAAAGATATGCGCACCAGACCCTGTCACGACTGCCAGGGAGATAGATGGATATTGGGATGACTTTGGCGGTAATGTTAAGGGGAGACTGCTGGAGATAACGTCACCTGCTCTTGGAAGACCCTCTCACATGGTTGAGGGGTACACAGGTATACCTCACAGTACTCGGATCTTCCTCACAGTACTCGGATCTTCCTCACAGTACTCGGATCTTCCTCACAGTACTCGGATCTTCCTCACAGTACTCGG